GTGTATACCTGACCCTAAACCTAAACCAGTATATGCCTGACCCTAAACCTAACCCAGTATATACCTGACCCTAAACCTACCCCCCATACCCAAAATCAGCATCCGTACCTGTGGGAACCAGGCTTTGTTCCTCCATAAGGAGCGTTGGGTCCCCACAAGGCTGTGTTTGTCCCCTCCCCTTCATGACACCCTACAAAGGCAGTGAAGTCACTCAGCAGGTAGAGAAATCCTTCCCAACCTGTGACATTTMACACCTATGAACTCCAGTAAACCCAACAGGTACTGAGAAAATGTTAATATAGACAGCACATGCCATCATCAGTACACAGTACTACAGTAAATATTTCAAGTATTTGTACTCTGTCACCTCTGTCCTGTTTGTTTTTAGTTTTATTTTTCATGTTTTTCATTTCAAACATGTCTCCAGCTGTGACCATGTTCCCTCAGGGTTCAGTCCAGTGTCTGCTCTGTTAACATGACCCTGTGCTCTCTGGCAGCTGATTGGTCGAGGTCGTTACGGCGCCGTGTTCCGTGGAACTCTYAATGGGTGCTGTGTGGCTGTTAAGGTCTTCAGCTCAGCTAACGGGCAGAACTTCCTCAACGAARGTTCCATCTACAGCCTGCCGCTGCTCCGGCAGCACGACAACATCGCCCGCTTCCTGAGTGCCGATGAAAGGACCACCGCTGACGGACGAGCAGAGTTCTTCATCCTGATGGACTTCTACCAKCATGTAAGGAGGCAGAAAGATTTGTGTGACTGTGATGAAGAGCTTCCTGTGACTGAAACACAGATTATATTCACATCGTACAGTTCAGTCTTTAATTTACTGCTTTAACATAAAGACTTTCATCATTTGATCTTAAAGTATGGACGGGTTTTATTCACCAGTGAGGGAGGAACAGAGATCAGAGCAGGTTCTGCAGCATACTGGACTCTGTAAGGAGCAGCTCTGTGTTTACCASTTGGTCTACATTCCTACCCTCACCATGGTGACAGACTCAGGGTGGTCACTGAAAGAACTGGAGCTCAGAGTCCAGAGGTCCAGACAGGAGGGCGGCTGGACTCTTCCTTAGAGATAAGACATAAGGGGAGAAGAGACTCATGTTGGCAGAGAATAATGGCTTTATTTTTTAATAAGTATAAAATCATATTTTGAATTGATATAAACTGGATCAACTAGTTCTGTATCTTCATTCAAGGTAAGAAACATGTTTYAAACCAGTTTCTGCTGCTGGTCTTCATTGCTCCCAGTTTGAAAACAAAAATGGTGGTGC